TGTGATGTAGAGGTCTGTGTAGATTTTATTCAGAAGAGTTGTGTCTCCTGTTTTTGCAGTCGCCTCAAACAAATACTGGAACTTCTGCTTCAAACTAGACTTGAGTTTTCGTTGGCACAATGCCGGAGATTCTGCATGGACAAAAAAACATTTGTAAGTGGAAGCTATAATAAATGTGGCATGCATTCCTGTGGTGCTGACTGAAGATGGAGGGCAGGTAACTGATCAATCAGAGAAACCACAAACAGCTTTTATCGAGTTTACATTTTCCCTGATCAGACGTATAATACTACTTCACGACTGATTAGATCTACACTAAAAGACAAGAACAACTTATTCCCCAATTCTATCTTGTTACAGCTGTAAAAATCATCTTACTCCTCTGTAGAGCATCAGCCAACTCTTCCTGCTTTATTCTCCTGAGGAAGTACAGCACAATTTTCAGAAATGACTCCCTGCTGCTCCTCAAATCCTCTTCATCCTTGCTGTCGATCTCCTCGTCATCTGCACACTCTGAGCTTAGAACCCTCTGCGTCCTCTTCAGCTCCTTCTTCACAAAGCTGATAATGTTCTCCTCAAGCAGCTGGAAAAAGATACGTAAACTTAATTTTCTGACACAAATACAGTGAAACTGTGAAATAAATACAAGAACTGTAAATGTGCACATGAAACAAGGGTCTGGGCATTGTAGCTCCCTTGCATACAATTTAATCCATCATGTGCCTTCCTTATACATTTACACACCATAAATACGGAGTCCTTGTCTGTTTGATCTTCCAGGGCAGACTGACCAATGTTAGCCTCTGGCATCTCTTGTTGTAGTCTGTGGAGGAAAACACACTTCAGTATCTTCAAATATTATTATTAATATTACTATACTATTAATTTATTATTATACTGGACCAAGTATTTGATCCCACTCGCTGCCAATGAACTGAACCTATGCATAACAAAGCCTTTTAATTATTAATTATCATTTCGCTATTAAAGCCCATCCAAGAAACGTTCATTTTGTGTTGATTCTGGTCCCTGTGGACAAAAGCAGTAGTGTTTCCAGTGCCTCTCTTCATTGGTTGTGAGGGGAAACCGACCAAATTCAAATCTGGACTTTGAGGCTAAAAACATAGAAAATAATAGCAGTAATGAATGAATGTTCAATGAACAGTCAATTTTGCTAATTCTTTAAGTTATATCACTCACCGCAGCACCTGAAGTGTAACTGTGAGGCACAGAGCACCTTTCTACTCAGGTTTCTTTCTTTGTCTACAGTACAAATGTTCTGCACTTTAAGTCTTAAGTTGTAAATTATATGTATATTTGAAAATTTTTATATTTTTTTAATTATTATGTTCTTACTGTTCTACTTGTGTGTTACCTCAGGGAGTCGAGCAAAGTAAGATTTTCATTGTGCGTACTAGCCTTGTGTTTATACTGTACATATGATAATAAACCTCTTGAATCTTATTTTACCAACAACAATGCCAAACGTTCACTAGTACCAGCTTCTGACATGTAAAGATTGCTTTTCTTATGTTAGAAAAATTAAATATCTTTAAGTATGTGTTTTGAAAAAAAAAATCCAGAAAGTATGGATGTCAATGTCAATTTGGGCTCTTAGAAATAATGTTTTAATATTTTTCTGTTTTCTATTTTCTGAAATTTTGGGGTGGCACCTTACAATTATTTTCAGTATTGATAATGACATCACCTGAACCCTACTACTCACTAACCCCACTAACCACATATAGTAGCATGTTGACTTACTCTGTTTTAGGGGAATCTTGTTTTTGAAAAGTGAGAGGCTCCTCCCGGGAGTGGTTGCTCATCATGGACACACAGCCGGGTACGGGGGAGGCTGGTCTCTCCTGGATCCTGAGAGAGACAATTAATAAAAAGAAGCATGGTTTCCCTCTAAAAATTGCTTTGTTAATGTTTACGCAGTACAACGTAAAAAGTTGACTTACTCTGTTTTAGG